TCTCTAGCACCACAACTGACGGGCATTCATTCTTCTTATATCTCCAATAGTTATTTTCCAGCTCTCAGATTTATAGCAAACAATTGAGAAAACCATGGCTTGCATCAGGAACACCTCAGCCTTTAGATTAACATAATTGCTCTTTTGCATTCTGGAGAAGTTCTTGACAACAGATTTTCCCAATAAAACTCATCTTTTGATTCGCTGACTGCTGATGCCAAGGGTGTTGATTGTGGACCCAAGCAAGATGAAATCATCAACAACTTCAATCTTCAACACCATCTATCTTGATGCTCTCTATTTGCCTTGTGGTTGGGAATTTTCTTTTCTTACAGTTGAGATGCAATCCATATTAAAGGCTATAGGCTATAGATAGTCCTTGATCTTTTTCACATTGATGAAAATGAAAACAAAATAATAAAATTGCAGTTGCCTTCTAATTTATTCTGACTCATGGCAACCCATGTGTGTCAGGATAGAACTATGCTCAAAAGATTCCCAATGGCTAATGCTTTAGTAAAACAGTAAGCTTTTTACTGTGGCAATTTTGTCATACTCTCACTTCCAATCTTTTAGCTAGTAGCCTAGAGACTTAAGCGTTTATTTAATCCCAGCATTTCTAGCCCATATTACGTATTCAAAAAATACTTATGGGATTTTGTTGTTATTGTTCTTAGGTGCCATAAAGCCGAGTACTATCCATAGTGATGCTAGAAACAAAAGATCCGAACCCTGTTCTATCCTGCTCCATCCTCGCACACGATCCCATTGCAGCAGTCACCACATCAATCCACCTGGCTGAGGGTCTTTCCTTTTCCAACCCTTCACCCTTGCCAGCGTCATGTTCTTCTCTAAACAAATTGCCCACAATATGTGAAGTGAAGCCTCATAATTCTTGTCTTCAAAAAGCACTTCAGCTGCACCCTCTCTAAGACATATCTGTATGTTCTCTTGGCCATCCATGGGATGTTCAGTGCTTTTCTCCAATACCACAACTCAAAGGCATTAATTCTTTTCCTGTCACCATTATTTATTTTCCAGCTCTCAGATCTCTAGTAAGAAACAAGAAATACTATGGTCTGAATCAGATTCACCTTATGAGTTGTGGAAGGATATCAGGGATTTTATCCATGAAGAAAGCAAAAGGTAGTTACAAAAATAGCAGAGAAAGGGGAAAAAAATGAAACAGGTATCAGAAGAGGCTATAAAGACGGTACTGACTCATTGTGAAGCAAAAACAAAAGGAAAACATGTTGAAGTGAAAGAACTAAGCAGAAGGTTTCAAAGGGCAGCTCAGAAAGACAAAGCAAAGTATTATAATAAGATGTGCAATTGTTGCTGTTTTTGTTGTTATGTGGCATCGAGTCACTTGCAACTCATAGCGACCCTATGTACAAGAGCTCTAAAAGCCGTTCTATCCTGTGCCAACCTAATCATCTCAAATGTACTCATTCCCACCACTCCAGTCACAGAATCGATCCATCTCATCTAAAGTCTTCCTCTCCTTCATGACCCCTCCACTCTGCCAAACATGCCCAAAATATGTCATACAAAGCTTCAGAATCTTTGACTCCAAGGAGTATTCTAGCTTCACCCTCTCCAGGACTAACCTGTTTGTTCTCCTAGAAGTCCATGGTATATTCAACACTTTTGGTAACAGCAGCCAGGAAATCCAGAGACGAATTGCATTGGGAAAGTCAGCTGTGAGGGACCTCTCAAGAGTACTGAAGAGCAATGACATCAGGCTGGAGACTAGGGTGCACCTGATCCGGGCTATATTATTACCAATTACATGCTATGCATCAGAGAGTTGGACAGTGAATAGGGATGATAGAAAGAGAATTGATGCCTTTGAACTGTGGCGCTGGAGGGAAAAATGTGCTCTCTATATCTTAATCTGAAAGAACTGAAAAGCAAATTTAAGCCTTGTGTCACAGTACTGAGAGATGATTTGGGCAATATATTGAATTACCCAGAAAACATGAAAAGAATATGACTCACTGTAGAAGAATGAATTAATTTACACTGAAAAATTTTAGGAAGTACCATCTAAAGAGGTGCCAATGGTAATGAAGGAAGAAGTAGAAGTTGCATTGAAGGTATTGGCAAAAAAATTGATGGATCAGGAATCAATGACTTGTTCCAATTAACAGATGAAGACTTGGATGCACTCATCAGTCTATGCCAGGAATTTGGGAATTATTTGTGGGATAGCAACAAAAAAGATAAAAATAATTGCAGGTTTTAAAATTACATATTACTTAGAAGTTATTAACCTTAACTCTTAATCTTTCTTGTTAAATGTTGTTGAGTCAACTCTAAATGATGGTACTTTTTGTTTAACAGGATGAAAGGTTGCCTAATCCTGTGACATCTCTGTGATGTTAGTGGTCAAAGAAGTGATTTTATTTTCTAACATATTATATTTACTACAAATAATAAAATACAGATATTGATTACTTGAGTAAGGACTTTCATTCTACCAGGACACATAGATAGGATGAAATTATTTGAAGAAGCCTAAACACGGTCTATTGCCTAACTGCTGAGTAATCTCTTAGGTTTGGTGTCCTAGGTCGAGTTCAATCAATTTTCATCATTAAACGGCATTATTTAAGAAAGTGTTTTGATTCTTCTTTGCCTCCATTTTTCTATTTAATGTATATATTTCCTTTTCCTATTATCTCAGAGAAGAATAAGTACTTCAAAAGAGTAAATGAATGCCAAACATTTAAATTATAGACCTCAAGTTTTTATTTCCTTTCAGATGTTATTGTTATAAATAATAATAATAATTATACTTTCTCTTACCAAATATTTGAGAGTGACAATTGACTATTGTTATTTACAGCAATCTCAAACTTCAGTATATATCAGCACTATCTGGGTGTACAAAAGCACATTGCTGGCTCCTACCTTTAGATTTTCTACTGAACTGGTTTGAAGGTACACCTGAGAATTTACACTTTTAACAAGTTTTCAAGTAACACAGGGGGCTCGTGACGTCATACTTTGAGAACTATTAGTCTAAACTGGTTTATAATTTTAACTAATACATTCTCATTTCATCAGTTAAGCCTAATATGGAAGTGGAACAAAAGATACCATGTGACCATCTAGGTTATTAATAATGGACTATTGAATTGTGATAAATTATATTTCAATGGTATTGGCTTATATCAGTGTTTCTTATTTGCTAATAAATAGCACACTTAAATTCTGTAGAAATCAAAGCCAAATTACAATTTCTAGGTGCTTTTATATGAGTTATTGGCTTAATGTATCTCTAACATCAACAGTTTTAGCAGTCATATTTTCTGCAAAATGTGTGAGGTATTTACCATACAATCCCCATGAAGTGTAACTGCAGTTGTACAGCTGATTTCCCTCAAGCACAATAATACTATAAATCTCTCCCTAAGTGGAAATACAGCTCACCTTTATCGCACTTTTCATTTTAAAAGAGAAATATGAAATCCAGACATAAATTTTAGCAAGGAAAAAAAAGCTATCCTATTTGTCTTGAACTTTTAAGTGCTCATCAAAGCAGAATAAATGTAAAATTATTCATTTTATATATTTAGCTTGACTGGAGGCATTAATTTTAACTGGCATGCAACTATATAGATTTTTCTGAAAGTAGCTATTTTCTATTTCAAAAAAGTCTTCTGTCAAGTAAAATTATCATGACAGGAATGTGTTATATATAATGAGTTATTTATACTTAAATAAAAAATGATGCCATTTTTCTGTGGTGGAAATTGCTACTTCCACATTTACAAATTATTAATTTATCCAGTAAAGCTTTCTGATTTAATTTAATCCAGTGGACTTCAATGAATATATATTTTATTAACTTTCAAATAGAGAATAAATGTAAACAATGTATTTCTTGAATTCTCTAATTAAATCTAATAATGTTCCTGAGTGCTTACATTGTCCCAGGAGTGCACACTATGCCTCTCATGTATCACCTCATTTAAATCCCCAAGCAAAGCCTAAAACAGTCTAAAGTCTCATTAGTAGTGTTAAAACATAGCCAAACAAGAGCAATCTGAACACAGAATCCATGCTTTTAATAACTACATCATTGCTTTTAATAACTACATCATGATACAGCTAAAATTCAATTATGATGCTGATACCCAACAGAACTTACTTTATATTTTTAGAATGTATATGGAGTTCAAGTAACTAATCTATGTTCACATCATTTCAAGATGTTAAGATGTTTGTTTGTGTTTTCTTAAATAAGAGCTGTTTATAAGTTTTCTCTGAACTTCATACAGATCAAAAGCTACTGACACAAAATTTATTGTAATGTTGACATCACTATGGCAGTGAGTTCATGTTATTTCACCTTTGAATAAAAATCTAAAAGACAACATGAAATTTTTAACGTAGTCATTCCAGAGCTCGCATGATATCAGGCTGTTTTGAAAGTCTATCAGTCATTCTCCTGCAAGTGATTTGTTGTAACCTGGCCCTATTGAGGATAACCTCAAAATTACATCAGGAAGCTGGAGACCAAACCAGGGATGGAAAGCCAAATTGGCTTATAGTTTTATTTTTTAAGAAAAAGGGTTTTTTTTTTAATTTTCTTCATATTCAAAATAATTTTAAAACAAATAGGCAACATTTCAGTCAATCCCAGGTCATCATTCCTTATTTAACTTGTTTGATTTATATATTCAAATTTGTATTTTTTTTTGCTTAAGTTCATATGATTTGTAACTTCTGTTCTTAAAGAACATTTTGCTGCTAATGATAAGATCCACTTAGAGATACCAATCAAATAGGCCATCTGCAAAAGCAGAAAACCCCCACACAACTGGCACATGTTTATTTATTATTGTCCTATCTCTCTCTTTCATGTAATATCGTTAAAATTGTGGAACTCTGGTGCTTTCTTTGCTCCTAAGTTACTAAATAACAAGATCATTGCATAATCATACTTCACACATCCTGGAAACAGAGTATGAACACTTTTATATATTTACCTGACAGGAATCGATTCCTCCTTCTTCATAACCAGCACATATCATGTTTTCTGTTATGTTATATTCTAGCATTTGTTGTTGGCATCTGTCATTTGATACAAGAGGAACAACAGCTTCTTGCAATATGCTTGCAGTAGGACCTGTTAAAAATGGATAGTATAACCAGTCTACCAGAAGTGATCAACTCATACCGTGAATGAAACATCATCAGTCTTATTTATTCAAACATTTACTCCCATTATATAACACTATGTGTGTGTATAATAGAACTAAATACTAGATTTTCTACTTTAAAGTACATAATATATCCCATCTTGGACACTTGTCAAAGAGTTAATGCTAAATACTTTATTTCTTCCCTTATGGCTAGCAGGAATGGTGAGTTGGACTAGGCAGTTTTCAGAAAATTTTAAACAGCGTTATGATTGCTCATGGAATTAAAAACAATAACACAAAGAGTTTCATTCACGGAAATTAGTCATCTCTCAGAAATCTAGAAGGGCTTTTCATTTGGCACCTGAGGAGGTACTCTCATATAATGGCATTCAGCTTCTTTGGAGTTCTGCGTAAGTGAGCAGGTGCACATTCAACGTAGGATAAAGCTCAGATGAACTGTGCCCTGGTCTAAAGGCAATCATCTTGTCATCCACATCTGCAGTGCAGAGAAAAGAGGCATTTTGTAGCGGAATGTAATTCCATGGTGTTTATGAAATGATTCATCCACTGAGAAAGCATGTGTCTGTATTCTGAAATATGAATCTCAAGAGGCATGTCAAAGAAGTCAGTCTGGTACCCTGGAAAAGGTATACTATAAGCATTACTTGATAATTAGCATCTCTATTTTGTTCTTCAAGAAAGGCAGAATGTTAAAAAGTCCACATCATGGCAAATATTATTGCAAAATCCTGTCTGACCTTATTTCTTACTATGTTACTAAAAGAAGAAAATGTGTGTGTGTGTGTGTGTGTGTGTGTATTTTCAGCAGTATTTTCGTGTATTTAGTATAGGTAAATATTTAACAACTGATTCTCCATGACTGTCTGTAGACAGTTTGTCGACTATTTGTCCACTTACATGTTGTAAACACTTCAACTGTCACTAATTTCAATGGACCAGCATGACACTGAAAAGATGTTGTGAAGATTATGTGCACAAATGGCTTTTTTCAGCTGATTCTAATAGTTTGAACAGCACAGAACTGGGTATCTTTTATATTTTGACAATAAACTGAAAGCTAAAAAAATGAACTGGAAGGTTGAGATGATGTTATTCTATGATGATCACTAATGGGCTGGTGAAAAGTAAAACAAACAAACAAACAAAAAAAACCCAAGAAACAAAAACAAACCTCTAAGCTATTTCAGCTAATTGTCAATGAATAGTCCTCCAGGTGATTCCAACACATGGCTACTCCATATCAGTTTTCCAGGCCTTAGTGGAAACAGACTACCTTATCTTTCTCTCCTAGAACAGCTGGTGAGTCTGAAATGTCAACCTTTCAATTAGTAAAGAATAAGATACATAAACTTTTGTGTTAACGCTTCATTGTGATCATGGGTTACCAGGAGGGCAAATTAGAATATATACACACAAACATAAACAGTTTCTGTCAAGTTATTTTAATTGTTTAAATTTAACTAGCTAGTCTCAGCTCAAGAGCAGTGGTGATTCAGTGGTAAAATTTTTGCTTTCTACGCAGGAGAGGTGTCTTTGATTCCTGATCAACATACCCTTAAGTGTAATCAAACCACTTGTTTACCGGTGTAAGCAGTTACAAGCTTGTGTAATTGCTATGACACTTAATGTTGTTGTTGTTGTTTTGTACTGTAGAGCTAGGACTGACACATAGTTGATCCTCCTGTGAATTTTCATTTAGTTACAAGGTAAGAGACTGCCCATCTTTCTCCTCTGGAGCAGCTTGTTGACTTGAATTATGTGCCTTCGGGATTGCAGTGCAGCGTCTTGCCACTATGCCACCACAGCTTCTTTATTGCACTGCTGACCCAAAAGTTACAGTTTGTTCGTATCCACAAGCAAGTCCCCTGGACAAAGAGAAACAATCTTCTTCCATTGCAATTGGCAGCCTTAGAAACCTGATAGATCACTGAGTTGAATTGAGTCTCTCTATGACACTTAATAGGCACTCAATGCTGTTGTTATGTGCCATCAAGTGGCCTGTGACTCATAGTGACCCTAGGTACAACAGCCCTACACCCTGCTCTATACTGTGCCAATTATATTGTCTCTGACACACCTATCCTTATTTCCCCAGTCACTTAATCAATCCATCTCAATGAGTGTCTTCCTCTCTTGTGCTGTCGCTCCACCACCCCAAGCATGACATCTCTCTACAAGGACTGGTCCCACCTTGCAACATGTCCAAAGTAAGTCAGATGAAGATTCAGAATCCTTGCCTCCAAGGAGCAACCTGGCTTCATCCTCTCAAGGACGAACTTGTTTGTTTTCCTTGCAGTCCATGGTATATCTCTCCTTCTATCATCCCTAGTCATTGTGCAGCTCTCTGATGCATGGCAAGTAATTGCAAAGACTATGTCCTGGATCAGACACATCTTAGTCTCTAGTATGAAATCATTGGAAGCTCAAAGGAGAAGGAACAATTGTAAGCAGACACTAGTGATTGGAACATGGAATGTGAGAACTATGAATGTAGGAAAATGGATATTGTTAAGAAAGAAATGGAAACAAATAGTGACATGCTAGGTATTGGTTAAATGAGATGAACTGGCATGGGACATTTTGAATCACATGAGCATATGCTATACTACAGTAGAGATGAAAAGATGAAGAAAAATGAGGGCGCTTTCATACTTAAAAAAGTAATTCCTAGATCTGTCTTGAAATATAATTTTGTGAGTTACAGGAAAATATCCTTATACATAGAAGGAAATGCCACCATAATTCAAATATATGCATTAACTACCAGAGCCAAAGAGGAGCAAATAGGAGATTTCTACCATATTTTGCAGTTAGAGATTGATTGAACATGCAATCAATATGCATTAATAATAATGAGTGACTGGAATGCAAAACTTTGGAGCGGAGAAGAAAAATCAGTAATTGAAAAACATGGACTTGGTGACAGAAATGACGCTGGAGATAGAATGATAGAATTTTGTACAATTAACGACTTATTAATAGCAAATACATTTTATAAGAACCATAAACACAGGCTAAACACATAGATTTCACCTATTGGTCTGCATAGAAATGAGATAGATTACAACTGTGGAAAGAATTGCTGGAGAAGCTCAATATCAACTGTAAAAACTACTCCAGATACTGATTGTAGAAGAGACCACCTACTAGTTATATGCAAGTTCAACTTGAAGCTAAGGAAATTTAAATCAAATCCACAGGAAGCAAAATTTGAACTGAGTCTATCCCACCTGGATTTCAAAACCATCTCACAAACAAGTTTGAGACACTTTAATTGAGGAACTCAATTCAACTCAGTCATCTATCAAGGTTTTCAAGGCTGCTAATTGCCATGGAAGGAGATTGTTCCTCTTTCTCCAGGGGAGCAGGTGGTAGATTCAAACAAACTATATCCTTTTGGTTAGCAGTGCAACTTTCAGTAGTAGTATCTATTTCCCAAATAAGTAATTCGAAACTCTATGAACTACAGTCATCCCATCAAGTTGCGTATGAGTCTCAATGGTCCCATTCAGTTGTGCATGGATCTTCTTGGGCCAAGTTTCACTTGATAGTTATTGTTGTTGTTGCTATGTGCCATATGTACAACAGCCCTAAACCCTGCTCTGTCCTGTGCCAATTGCATTGTCTCCGACACACCCATCCTGATTACCCCAGTCACCGAATCAATCCACCTTCCGTGCTGTTCCTCCACCCTCCAAGCATGATGTCCCTCTCCAAGGACCAGTCCCTCCTTACAACATGTCCAAAATATGTTAGACGGAGCCTCTGAATCCTTGCCTCCAAGGAGCCACCCGGTGCCTAATAATACTTGGAAGCATGAGTGGAATCCACTTCCTAAACACCCCTCTGGAAACTCTATGAACTGTAATAAATGACAATAATTACAAAAAGGCTTTTGTTCATAGGGTTGCTATAAGTCATGCTCAATTCGATGGCAATCAACAACAACAACAACAACAATAATAATAATAATAAATCACTTTATTTCTTCCTAGGCAACAATTTAGGAAATTCCTTGGGTAACTAATTAGCATATTTAAAAGACATTTTGAATATTATTTCATTAAGAAGAGAGACACCAGAGTACAAAATTAATAAATTTCATGAAAATTTCTTCCACTTGTTGTTTTGTTTTTAATCTGGTTGTTCATTCTTAAGTGAAATTTATTTGAGACTCAGTTTCCCTGGATCCATACTATCAGAGAGACGTTCTTAAAAACGTTAATTAAATATATATCTTTAGTAATAATAAGTACATCTTAGTCAAATTTACTCATTTAGACATATGGAGAAAAAAAATCCCCCCAAAAACCAAACAAATAAACCTATTTCCTACAGACTTAAGAGTCTTAAATTTTGTTAGCAGATAATTTGTTTTGAAGAGTCTATGTTGTCATCATAAAATGTATTTTAGATTGATATCTGATATGGAAAATCTAAGAAACATTTTTTTCTCTACATTTGGAATTCGAGAAATCATGACATTTTCAAGCAGAGGAAATAAAAGTACATGGTCTTTGGCTATAATGGGCAGCAAGTACAATATGTTTTTCAACAGTATAAGGTCATTGCTGTGAAGAACCTTAGTTGGAATCTCAGGAAGGATTTTGCCTTAATTCACGCTTTCTCTGATAACAAACACAGAGTTGTAAGTTGTGTTTTACTTTACAGATCTGCAGTCCTTCACAACATGATGTGAAATTTTGTTTTATCTGCAATTAGGATTTTAAAATATAGTGTACCTAAAATCTGCATCAGAAACTGTAGGCATTTCTGCTGCTTACCGGAGATCAAGCCTCTGAAGGCTTGAATCCACCAGTACATCCATAGAAGAAAGATGGGAAATCTTCTTTTACGACTTACAGCCTTTGAAACTCTGTAGAGTCAGTTGTGAGTTACTGACAACTTGATAGTAGTGATAGAGCGATGCTTTGTTTTGCACAAAATCTGAACTTCCCACTAC